ATCTATCTATCTATCTATCTATCTATCTATCTATCTATCTATCTATCTATCTATCTATCTATCTATCTATCTATCTATCTATCTATCTATCTATCATTTACAATAAAACAGTAATATGCTTGCTGAGGTATTCACAGAATACAGTGAGTGGTTTCAATTGAAGTACGGTCTCTGAATGTAAGACGTGTATGTGTTGCGTTTGCTGTGGTAGGCAGGTGAGAGTTCAAGCTTTCCACTGATGATAGTTTGCTTCTGTAAAACACTGTGTAATGTTTATTTGAAGGATGAGAGAGAGTTCACAGCACACTCGAAACCGGGTGTGGGAGAGAAAAGGCTGCAGCGAGGCAGTTGGTACCCTGCTGACTGTTGAACACTGGATGTATGCAGTCCTTTCCTCCTCTTGCCTCCTCTCGTTCAGATTTTGAAATATATGAGGTTTGGAGTGCAAGACAAAATGGTGTACACCTGACACTGGGTTGAGCTTTCACCTGTCTAATGCTACACTGGGTCAGTGCAAATGAAGGAGAGGCAACAAGGAGAGGAGAACAGTGTACATTGCTAAGATTTATGTGTTATGTTTTCAGTGAGACCTGTTCTTTGCTACACTCAGATTGATTCCTTATAAAATTTCTGTTTGTCATTTTATATAGATATGAGTTTTCTTTATATTCAGTACAAATATACATATGCATTTCACTATAAGATATATTTTCTTTTCAAGGAATATTCTTGAATAATCATGAAGTGCAAAAGCGAAGTTGATACCTTTCCAAATGAACCTCTAGTCAAACCGATTGAGAACCATCTAAAGCATTTTCACCATCTGCACTCAGTGGTGTATTTAAATCTGGTTGAAATGTACCTTTTTTTCCACTTAAGTCAGCACAGCAAGACTGGCCAGCAGCTGGAAAATCTTTAATCAGTCTAAGCATACTAGATTTCAGGGTTGGGTTCATGGTTGACTTTTGGTGAAACATGGCACAGCTCCATGTATACATGCAGAGATTTACAAATTCCCTGCTTAAAACCACCTCTGGTAGAGAAAGGCCACTGTGCGATTGTCCAGAATTAGCATGTATCTTAGACAAATAGGCGCAAGCCCTTGCTCCTTCTTATTAAACACTCAAATCCAAGACGAATCAGTTTAGATCACCGGCAATGTGGTACAAATGTCAACCAAATCTTTCTGCAGAGAAAGATTCATATAATACAAAAGAACCACAAAAATGTCAACAGAAACCAGGATCCAGGGGATGTTTCCATATAGGTTCATGCAACATGGTGAAACTTTATCATCATGTTCTGAGAAGCAATTTTACAAAAATACATGCATCATGTCATCTTTTTGGATATAATTTATGTGAAGAAATATATGATTGGCTCTGTGTGATATACTCTCTATGCCAGGTCTGCAGATGGAAATCCAGTCTAATAAGTCAATGCTGTTTTGAGAGATAACTTCCACAATGAGACAAACCTTGCTGGTTGGCAGGAATATTGAATATGGAGTCTAGGAAGTTGATGCTTTGGGCACCACAAGTTAAAAGAATATTAATTGTCATAAGAATTTTTAAATTGAATAAGAAAGCAGTTCCTCAATGACATACACACACCCACATCATTCACAACACAAGAAGTAGAAATATCAGTGGATGTTGCATGTGCTTGCTCATGCAAACACAAACGCACCTTGTCTACACTCCACAAAATTTCTTTTTATAATTTTTCAAACATTTTGAACTCGTTATTTCTTTCTTTCGTTATTTTTTTAAAAAGATAGTTCAATCAAAATAAGTCTTGCATTTTTTTTTCGATGAGGGAATTATTTATTTAATACACTATTTTTTCATAGTTTTTCATAACCTTTATGGTTCAAATCCTCACAACAGTTTGACACCTTAGTATAGAATAAAATATCCACAACCGGATTTATTTCTGCAACAGTCAGATTTTGTGTGTCATAAGAATTACACCATTGGCCTCGATGACACAGCCATCCAAGAAAAGTAGAAGGGGCCGTTTGAAATGCAGGGCACAGCTAAGAATAGAGGACATCACGCATCGGGTGGCTTTAGGATGATCTGTCATCATGGGGGCTCCCATCTGAGTTCTCGGTCTCCCCTTCAGAAATGGCTTGCATGGGGGCTGTGTAGAGGCGACTGCGTGTACTGTAGCGACTACTGTTGGCTACAGGGGGTATCCGAGAACGTCCTTGTCGAGATGCAGCTGACATAGGCAGGGTTTTCGATGCAAAACTCTCAGAGTTGGCTCTGGGAAAAAGACCTGGTATCTGGATTGGGTCGAGGCCAGAAATGGGGCTCTCCTGGAGCGTAGAGGGTGGCTCCTCTCCCTGTCTAATGGGCCCTTCCTGGACAGACTCCCCTGGTGTTTTAGGGGTAATAGGGCTTTTCAGAATCTCTGTAGCTGACATGCGATAGCTGGAATCAGTTCTGCTTCCCTTTTTTAGCAACAAGAGTTTAAATTCCTCGTTCGACGTACTTGATTTCTTGGCGCTGCGATAGATTGGTACAGGGGCTCGTTGTGACCCAACAGCAGTGGCTAAGGTAGCTGGAATGTTGAGAGGAGGTGCTGGAGGGATAATGACGGTGGACACGTTGCTGGGGGTCACTGGTACTGGAGGGCAGAGACGAGACTTAGCATTTAAGTCGCCAGAATCTTTACGACCCAGGACCTTTCTCTTGGATCTAAATAAGGAAATCACAATACAGTCACAATTAAAGTAAAGACAGGGAATAAACAGAAAACATAAACATGTAGCAGAGTCAGTACAAAAAATTGTCTAGAAAATAGATATATTACAAACACTGCATAGACATTGTAATTAAGTATATTGACCAGTACCTGTGTATCATGGCAAACAGGTCCTCAGTTGTCCGGGTCTTATTGGGTGACGTGAGAATGATGTCATCATCCACTTTGGTGTCATCCATCAGAGGGGAGAGCGAATTATCACTGGGTGTGGAATCTGTAGCACACAACATCCCTAACACATGTCATCTGGCTGTCTGATCACTTAGTATACAGTTGATGAAATAGCCATCCCTTAAACTGCCTTTTTTTTTTTTAGAATTTTAATGTTGTTTTGTGATACAACAGCTTAATATTAATAAACATCATGGCATTTTGTGAGATTTTCTTTATTTTTTACAAAATAATACCCTACTTCTTCTGGAAGTGGTATTTTGCTTAGAAACATACCTTTACTGAAGTAATCCTCAGTGTCAGGAGTCGTGGAGTCATCTTTGCTTTCCTGTGGCTGTTGTTGCTGGGCACTTCTGGTAGCACCTGATGTCACTTCCTCCTCTTCTTCCTGTTCTTCGTGTCCTCTATTTCTTGGGTCACTGATTAGGTAAGAATGCAATGTCTCCATTGTGGTACCAGGCACTTTGATTGGACTAGCCCAGGGCCCTGAGTCTGAGTGGGATCCCCCAGCAAACTCATATGCTGGGGGTGGAGGATGATCTGATCGCATACCTCCTCTGGGACATACAGGTCTAGGGGGTTCTTTCACGTGCTCTTCCTCTTCCTCCTCTTCATCTTCATCATCATCATCATCCTGGGAGAAGGAGCGTTCTCCTAAAACCCTAAACTCAGGATGTGCACGAGATGAGTGGGTGAGCCCTCTGAACTCTCTATGAGAATGGATGTGTGTGTGTAGATCCACAGGAGATGGATGGGGAGCACGTGGGACAGGTCGATGCACAGGTGAGCTGTCCTCAGAGAGGTCTGATGATGGGTCCATTCGGGTTCGGAAGGCAGTCATAGCCCAGAAAGTTCCAGGTCCATAGCGGTCCTGTCTAAGTAGCAGGCTTTCATAAGATGGAGGCCCATCAGGATGACGGCCAGGAGGTGTTGGTTGTGCATGCTCAGGGGAGGAGGTGTGCTCGTGACCTGGTGGTCTAGGAGGAGGTCTGCGAGGAGGGAGAGGCCTAGTGTTAGGAGGTGGCGGAGCCAGAGTAGAAGCACTAGGAGGACATTTGGGTCTTGTAGCAGTTTCTGTTACACTTGGTGTTTCCTGGTCTGTAGTGTAAGTAATTTGTGGATCTGCAGATTGGCTAACAGAATGAAGCTGCACTGATCGAAGAGCAGACGGTGTTATCGCTGACAGATTTGAACTAGGAATTGTTAATGTAGAGTTTGAACTTGGTGGTGGGTTGGTATTTGATGCTTCAGGAGCCAACAACTTTGTGCCAGTGGCTAAAACATTTGCAGCTCTGTGTTTGCTATGGTGCAATGTGTGCATGTGGTAAGTCCGGTGGGATAACGTGTGTCTGACATAGCCACCATGAAGGATACTGAGATCCAGCTGAGAAGGTGGAGGGGGAAAGTCTGGGTCTCTCTTATAGCAAGAGGAAATGGAAGCTCCATCTCTGGGGAAATGCTGCAGGGAAGCGAGAGAAGACTTCCTCTCTGGTACTTTGGGCTTCCTCTTGCCAGTTGAAGGAGACAATGGTCCTGGGAAAAATGCTGCCGAAGATGTGGGCAGGGTTGATGTAGGTGTTTCTGATTGGCTGGAATAACCACTTGATGGTGAAGCCAGACCAGCCAGTTTCTCAGGAGACCCTAGTTTGAAGTCTTCAGGTGGGAGTGGTGAACTAGTTGCCACGGTGTCTGAAGCCTGGGTAGGGGCCTGGGTTTGGGTTTCTGTGGAAGAGGAAGAGCTGTCTGGTGACTTGATACACTCCATGACAGTAGTGCCTGTGGCGGTGCTTGAGTTGGACATGGATGTGTACTCACCATTGTTGGACTTCAGTTCACTGTTATGAAGCCAAAGGTCTGCATAGTCAGATTGCACAGCACCTTCATCTTTAAATGAGTGTGTATCTGCAGAGCTGAAAGACATGGGCTCTACTATGTCCACGGTTTCCCCCAGTCCCATTCCCCATGTTCCCAAAGGCTCTGCCACTAAACAGGATGTCTGTAATGGTTCTGGAGCAACTCCAAGCTCTAGGTCCAGTTCCAGCTTCATATCTGTGGAAGACAAAGTAAGCTCCTGCTCAATAACCATCTTTGGTTGATCCTGATCTGCCTGTGTGTCCGTTCCGACATCAACACTACCACTGGGTTCCTTTAGTGAGGAGGTTCGTTTGGGTGGTGGAGGTTTGACTTTCGGTTTCCTTAATGAACGAGATGTCCTCCCCAGGGTTAGAATGCTTGCTCTGAAGTCAGCTGAGGGCTCAGGGTAAACTCCATGTGATAGTGGTGCTGCCACAGTGTTGGACTGACCACAGTCAGGCCCTTGGTCTGCATAGTTATACATGTATCCTCTATAACTCTGATTACACTCTCTGATATGCACAGAGGAGGAATAGAAACCTTCTGTATCAGATGGGTAATGAGAGCCAGGCTCTGTTTCAGTGTTGCTCGTTTTGTCACTGAAGCCAGCTTGGTCTTCAAGGCTATGTTTAGAGCTGTACTCTTGGGTTACCCCATGGCTCTGGCTCAGGTTTTGGGTCTGGTCAGGGTCTTGATCTTGGTCAGTCTGATCTTGGTCTGGAGGGTATGTCCACTCTCCTTCACTGGCTGTACTGACCCCTGCATCATCCAGCTGGTCTGTGGCTGAGGATGTGAATGAGCTTGATCTGTGACCCTGGCCTTGGGGTCTGAGGTCAGAGTGATATGAGGGATCGAGGGAGAACCCCTCATCAATAGCATTGGGCACGGTGTTGAGTGACAGCTCTGAATCACAGTGGGATGAGCCTGTCAAGGGTGGAGAAGAGGGTGGCGGGATGGTTTCAGATGTTTGTGAGGGGCAGGTAGAACTAGAACCACTCCAGTTCCCGCTGGATGACTGGTGGTCTTCTTTGTGATCCACATGGCTGCCTAAGACTCCTGTTGTAGACACTGAATGAATAGGGCTACTAAACGTATCTGAGCTTGACGAGATCTCGCAGCTGCCCATGTCAGCCTTACGTGGTAACCGTGAACGACCCCTCTCCATCCAGCTATGCTCTGGGCTTCCACCTCCTCCACCTCCTCTGTCTCTCTCCCCAGTTCGCTGCAGCCTTTTTAGGCTTCCAAGCTGTAGCGGCTCTGGAGCTGCTTGGTCATCTGTGCTCTCCTCTTCATCCTTCATCATCATCATCTTCATTCTTGGACTGGGGCCAGCTGGAATAAAGTCCTCTGCTTCGTAAGGTGACAATTCTTCATCCTCATCATCATCGTCATAATTGTCATCGTCATCCTCATCACTATCCATCAGACGTCCACCCTCTCGTGGAAGGCTACGGGAGCGCAATCGCCCACCATGGGATGTGGCTGTGGTGTATGTTGAGTCTGATTGGTCACCAAGAGAAGAAATATTTCCTGTTGAATGGGACAAAGAGGCAGGAATTCCCTGATGGCCTCGCTGAGCTCTAATACGCCTTCTGGAGGGAGCAGCTGTACCTGAAAATGAAAAAACAGAAAAGAGAGAGGGAAACAGATGGAGATATTTCTTAATGCATGTGGCCTGTAGATTGTAACTGCAAAAAAGAATTAATTATAATTCCAGATCAAGTTTAGGGATGAAAGTAGATAAGCAGCTTCGAAATAATTTTCATGCAATGGGATCTAGAGGGTCTTTGAAAACAGAGTAGATTAATCAAGGAGGAACCGTGCTGTAATGTGTGGTAAAAGTGCTCACCCTAAAGAACCTCCTCCAGTATCAGAAACTTACATGCTATAAGAAAATCATCTGTCTGGCAGCCAGAGTCACGAGTGTGATGGAGGCGACCACTGACTGAGAGTTCTTCCTGACAGAGCGAGAGTTGATGTGGATTGGCATGGATAATCACTGTGCGCTCTCTTGCCACAGGTGATTCATCGGAATCTGAAAGCAAAGAATCAAAGTGTCTTTACTTTCGGAAATATCCTGCGCTAACTTTTTCATCTGAGTTTTTCTTCAGAATGTGATATCCACAAACAACCCCGCAGGAAGACGAACCCTTAAATAAACAACAACTTTGTTTTTTAATATCCTTTTGGCTCGCATCTTTAAACTTTACAGATAATTGTGAAGTTTTTTAACTCATGATCAAAATAATTCACATTTAAGCCTCTTTAAAAATGGAGAACCAAATTAGCTGTTTGCAAAAAATACATGTCATCTTTTTTATTGCCAAAAGTACAAAAATACATAGTATAGTAAAATACTATGTGAGAAGGATTTTATTATAACATACCCATATCGTGCTGTACTCTTTTGGGTATTCCTGTTATGGTTTTCCTCCTCCTTAGCTTCCTTCTCCTCTGAAGAACTGACTGAGAATGGACTAGAGAGCATCGAGCACTTGCTTCCCTGTCAAACCCAACTCCTGTAATAACAACAATGTATATATAAAATGTTGTTTAATAATCTTTTTAAAGAAACTATCTGGTATGATCCCAGGTTCGGGAATATCTAGATGAGAAAGTCTCTGTTTGGGTCCTGACAAAGGCCAGTAAAAGTCATCATCATCGTGCTATAATGATTTTAGCGTAGGCTGTATGTTTGTTCCTGAAGTCCTCCAAGATGACTGGTTCAATCTTGATTAAACTTACCCTATAAACTGCCTAGGGTACCAAGATTCACAACATCTATATGGCAATTGATTAGAATATTTACTTCAAATAAAATGCACTGTTTTTTTTTCTGTGTATGTGTATATAGAAACTGCACAATCGAGGCCAGTTACACCTTTTCTATGCATGTAAATAGAATCTAACATTTGCACGTTCATATGCTCCTTACACATGCGTTTTAATAGTCACCGTAGGGTTTAAGCCATAAGAATTGTCAAGTTTTTATTTTCTATCCGGTACGATTCTATACCATTAACTATGGGTGAACGATGGTCACAACAGATTGCAGAGTAAGGGGAATCTTTCCAGACATGCGCATGGTATGGCCAAAGAACCGTGATAGTTGTAAAAGGCCGCAAGTAGTTGCTGCAAACAGCAGGTTTGGCTGTTCTTTTCTTTGAGGCAATATATTTCTTTGCCACTTCAGTTGCATCTTAATTTCTGTGTTTACAATTAAAAGTTCCTATTATTGCTATTAATGTGCGGTTTAAAGCGTTTGACCTATTGCAAATGGTAAAAGTACTGCCCTTTCCTCTTTTAGTGACTGTGCAAACGTGTACTTTAAAACAGTGTTGAAATTCATATTTACTAGTAACTATGTAGTTTGTATGTAGTTCTTAAGTAGAGCTTAAGCTATTAAAGCTTATGATCCCAACATTTACAAATAACAGAACAGATACGTTTAACAGTAACAGCCCATGAATGAGCTGTAGCACATACCGAATAAGGCCTGTGCATTATATGTTTCAGATTATCAACTGATTTAAATGCTGTTTATTTTTCAACTTTATTTTCTCTTTCTTCTTTAACTTACCTGTGACATTGATCGGGATGATACAGGAAGAGATAGCATGAGAATCGCCAGATGACTTGTGATCTGATGGTGGGACATTTTCCTTTGACCAGTTTGTCTGCTTATCCTGGGTTGAAGGTGCACTGGGGGCTGAGGCCTGGGCTCTGTTGCTTCCCAAGACCTCACCGCCTTCACCTTCCCCTGTAGAGGTAGCCTGTAAGAAACAGGCAGATATTGGCAGCATTAAATGTGCGTTAGGCTTTAATTTAAGAAAGTTACAGATTAACAGTAACTACTTACATTGGTGAGGTGAATCTTTTTTTATATTTTTATATTTTATTTTTTTACAATTTTTCTAACAATATCATATACACTCATGGACACTTCATTAGGTACACTTTGTTCAAATGATGAATGACACAAATATCTATTCGGCCAATCACATGCCAGCAACTCAAGATATTTAGGTTTGTAGACATTGTCAAAATTATCCAACAGAGATGAAATTCAAGAATCAGAATGGGGAAGTGATTTTGAATGTGGTTTGGTTGTTGGTCACAGAAGTGTACCCATCTTCTGGTCGCTGCTTTCTCAAACTGGCTTTTTGAACATGACAGTGAGTTCACTGTACTCAAATGACCTCCACAGTCATCAGATCTCATTCTAATAGATCACCTTTGGGATGTGGTGGTGGCACAGAAGATTTACATCCTGGATATGTAGCTGACAAATCTGTAGCAACTGTGAGTTTATCTTGTCAGACCAAAACCTCTGAACAATGTTTCCAGCACCATGTTGAATCTATGATATGAAGAATTGAGGGAAAAAGTGTCCAATCCAGTACTAGTAAGGCGTACGTAATGATGTGTCCAATGAATCTATGCAATAGCTAAGTCTAATTCAAAGTACTCCACACTGAAAGCTGTAGCTGAATGACTCAAACTACTAAACAAGTAATATGATAGGAAGATTAAAAAAAGAAATCAAAACGAAAAAGCTTGGTACCTTTCTATTCCATGGAATGAAGATGCAACTTTCAATAGGGTGAAGTGAGTAAAAGCACTCAAACTAAGAACACAAAATATAACAAAAAATAAATTAATTAAGTCGATGAAGTGACATGTGAAATCCAAAAGATTTAAAGTAATTCCACATAAAAAGATTAAAGGAAAATCAAAAGGTGACAACTGAACAAGGCGGTGCACTCTTTTCAACCTTTTCTCCCCAACAGATATTTAATCGATGCTGCTACATGTTCCTGTTCTTCAACCCAAAACCCAAGAAATTTTTTAACATATGTTATATAGTAACAATCCTGCATTTATCTCTTAACATAAAAGCTGTAAAAAAAAGAAGAAGAAAAAAACGGTGTACAAATATTTGACATCAGACGTCAGGTATGTCACTCTGACACATCTTTCTTACCTTTCTTTGGATCGTCTGAACATCTGCTTCTCTTGGCCTCTCCTGTAGTAGAAAGAAACACGCACATAAAAGCAAGCATTTTTTTACACACACAGGCAAATGTTGTAAAGTCTGTCAGGACTGAAAATGATAAATTTTTGGCCAAGTGTAAATGTTCTTTCTTACTTTTCTCTGTATGGTCTGGATTTCTGATTCTTTCACAGGCCTCTCCTTCAAGAGTTTTCAAAACAAGAAAGAGTAGAGCGAGTGTAATTAAAAACACACAACCTCTACACAAAAAAGTTCCAAAGCAATTAAAAAAATAGAAGTGGTATAAAAGATGTAGCATGATAACATGTAGTTCCAGACACACAGCCTTAACTGTGCACAAATGTGCATATAACATAAATTTCACATTAGCATGTGTCAATAGAAAAATCACAAACAAATTTCTGTTTTACCTTCCTGGGTTGATAGTCTAAGTCTCGCTCCCTTTCTGCTCTCTCTTGCTGCATGCAAAAGTTAGAATAAGATATTTTATCATTTTATTGGAAGACACGAAGTACAGATTTCATAAAAACCAACAAAAAGTTGTGCAAACAGCACCACACGACAATTTGAACCAGTTAAGGAAACACTTTAAGTTTATCTAAGCAGCTTATTGTCACCTGTACACAGAATTCAAAGTAAGCAATTTTCTGATTTCATATCAATCAATCAATTTATTTATAAATATTTATGTTGGCGATCGTGGCTCAAGAGTTGGCAGGTCGTCTTCATAATCGGAAGGTTGCCGGTTCGAGCCCCGGCTCGGACAGTCTCGTTGTGCCCTTGGGCAAGACACTTCACCCGTTGCCTACTGGTGGTGGTCAGAGGGCCCGGTGGCGCCAGTGTCCGGCAGCCTCGCCTCTGTCAGTGCGCCCCAGGGTGGCTGTGGCTACAATGTAGCTTGCCATCACCAGTGTGTGAATGGGTGGATGACTGAATGTAGTGTAAAGCGCTTTGGGGTCCTTAGGGACTAGTAAAGTGCTATACAAATACAGGCCATTTACCATTTATAAGCACATTTAAAAACAACACAGGTTGACCAAAGTGCTGTACATAGCTGTGATGACCCACTGCACCCTGCCTTCCTTTTGGCTCATGTGTGTCTTGTTTGCAGGCACTGGAGAGGCGGAGTTCCCGTTTACAATCAGTGACACTGGCAACACCTGGGCCAGTGTGCCAGGACTCTATATAAAAAGCCTTTAGGGGATAGTTTTGGTTGGCTCTGAGACACCAGGTTGGACTTTGGCTGCGTTAGGTTTGGTGTTTTACTTTTGACACTATTAGATGCATCATCTTCCACTCATACATCCCTTTACACACTACTGATGGTACTGATTACACTTACCACTGTTTGTTTTTGACAGTAGGGTTTCTTTTCTGTTTTATTTATTTAAAAGAATAAAGCAGCTTGGAATACATTCCTAACCATGTCTGGGGGTTTTTTTTTTTTGTTGTTGTCATGACTGTAAGGCCCGGTTCATGACAAAAAAGTAAAAAGTAGATCAAACACACACAAAGAACAAAACTCAGTCACAATTAAATTATGTGTTTTTAAACGGGTTTTCAAAAATGTCAAGTGATGAAGAGATCCTAGTTTAAAGAGGCAGATTGTTCCAAAGTTTGGGTGCAGCAATCGCAAAGGCCCGATCTCCTCTGGTTTTTAGCCTGCTTCTAGGGACAACTAGACTTATCAGCTGACCTGAGAGTTCTATTAGGAGTTTTTTTTTAGTTCTAAAGCTATGTTTTCAAAATTGTCAAAACTGTTACTGATTTGACAAGTGGATCTGTTGCATCTGAGCTCCACACACAACATTCACAAATGCAAACATTATATTGGTTCAGAGCATGGAGTAGTTTCTCCTACTTGGAGCCACACGGCAGAATTGTTTTAAGACTGGTTTACACAACTATCATGGACAAAATAACTCACAATGATAATTTTATCACGCTATAAAAATATGTGATTGCAGCAAAAATTATATCAATCTAATTAATCTCTAACTTTCTTTATTGTGTGTTTGATTACTTGTGTTGCATAGGAATCGCAATCAAAATATGGGTGGAGGGAGGTGGAACTCTGACACTGTAAGTATATGAAAATATTATCTCCTTTTATTTTGTTTTACAGGAGTCAACAATAAGTGTTAAGGTGCAATATCAAAATACATGCATTTGACTGAAGAAGAATCTTGGAGATACTGATGCCAAATACCAAATTTTATCACAACTTTTGCTACAGATATTAACTGACCACTGATAAGATGCACAGTCCTAAACGAGGATTTATGAAGCAAGAGAAGTCCCTGGTGTAGTTGCTGTCATTTACGGTAAACCGCATCTTAACTCCACCCTGTTTGTTAAACGTAACATACTCTTAGTTCATGTTACTCTCAGTGAGTCCTTACCGCTCTTGCCAGGCGACTCCTCTGTTGCCGCCGGATGGTGTGGGGCGAAGGGAAGGTGGGCATGGGGGGCGCCACTGAGATAGAGATGGTCACTCTGTTTCTCTCCCGACTCGTGGACCGCTGCCGCTGTTGTTCGTCTGTGAAAACCGAACACACGAGTACAAATTTCCAATCCATACTTTGTACATAATGCAACTTTGCCCCTGATTTTGCCTCTCTCACCTTGGTGCAGAGCTCTGAGACTGAGCTGAGCGTTTCTGTGCAGCTCCTCCAGACACGGCGGTCGGGTGCAAGGATGAAATACATTGTGCTGCTGGTGCCATGGAGCCTGATAGTGAACCGACAGCTTGCTCTCTATGTCGAGGTTTGACACCGCTAAGATGAGAGGAGAGAGACAGAATTAATTCTCTTAAATAGAATCTTTGATATGACTATCCATGTTTAAGTTTTAACTTGGGACTCTTGAATTTGCGTGTACAGTCACAAACTAAAATATGGTTTCTACATCATAAATAAACAGGACACGCAGAAATCAAAATTGTCTCCAAAAAAATTGAAGCAAAACAACAATTCTATGAATTGATGATGAGGAGAAGAAGGAAAAGCGATCAACATCATCGAGGACCATGTGAAGAAACAGGAGAGAGATGCACTAAATTCACAGAAAGACTATGACAAGCTCCCCAAGATGCTTGAAAAACCTGCCCATAAAATGCTTTAGCATAAAATTAGGAAAGCTGCTGTTGTGCTGAAGGCCAGCACAATAAATGTAGATATAATGTAGTCTTCATTCAATTAATATGACATTAATTCATAAATAACTTCACTTTTGGAATTTTAAATAGTTTTGAAGGCAATATCTATTTACTTTTAGAAGAAAGGGCTTTTGCAGAGTGTTTTGCGCACACACATACAAGTATATCCTTCGATCCATATTCTTAACTATTTGTTCAGTTCAGGGTCATTAGGAGGCTCGAGCCTATTCCAGCCGTCACAGGACTAACACAGACAGAAAGACAAGAATTCACTACCACCTTCACACCTTTGGCCAATTTAAAATCACCAGTTAACCTAACAAGTAAGTCTTTAGACATGCTTGCAGGGGGAAGCTGGCGTGCCCGAAGAGATCCTACGCAGGCACAGGGAGAACATGCAGGCTCCACACTGAAAGACTTCAGCCAGTCAACCTTCTTCAAATCTGTTTACAGACAGAATTTGCCAGTCTCTAGTCTGTATGTCTTGTGGATGAAAACACGAGACAAAGCCCTGACACACCAGCAGGTGGCAGCTAAACCCACACCTTAATCTCTGAACATACCAACAGACCACTGTAAATTTCGCAGTCCTTCATGTTTTTATTGCAACAAAGATTTCACCAAAGAAAAATTTCTCCCATTATAAATGAAATATATATATA